ACAAACAATCCTAAAATATATATGGAACCAAAAAAGACCCTGAATTGCTAAGGAAATGTTGAAAAAGAAAAACACAACTGGGGGCATCACATGGCCTGATTTCAAGCTTTACTACAAAGTTGTGATCACCAAGACAGCATGGTACTGGCACAAAAACAGACACATAGACCAGTGGAACAGAGTAGAGAGTCCAGATATGGAACCTCAACTCTGTGGTCAAATAATCTTTGACAAAGCAGGAAAAAATATCTAGTGGGAAAAAAAAAAGACAGTCTGTTCAATAAGTGGTGCTGGGAAAATTGGACAGCTATATATAGAAGAATGAAACTCAACCATTCTCTTACACCATACACAAAGATAAACTGGAAATGGATAAAAGACCTCAACGTGAGGCAGGAATCTATTAAAATCCTAGAGGAAAACACAGGCAGTAACCTCTTTGACATCGGCCACAGCAACTTCTTTCAAGGCATGTGCCTCCAAAGGCAAAGGAAACAGAAGCAAAAATGAACTTTTGGGACTTCATTAAGATCAAAAGCTTCTGCACAGCAATGGAAACAGTCAACAAAACAAAGAGACAACCCTTGGAATGGGAGAAGATATTCGCAAATGACACTACAGACAAAGGGCTGATATCCAAGGTCTGTCATGAACTCCTCAAACTCAACACTCAAAAAACAGATAATCACGTCAAAAAATGGGCAGAAGGCATGAATAGACACTTCTCTAAAGAAGACATACGAATGGCTAACAGACACATGAAAAAATGCTCATCATCATTAGCCATCAGGGAGATTCAAATCAAAACCAATTGAGATACCACCTTCCACCAGTTAGAATGGCCAAAATTAACAGGACAGTTTACAAGTGTTGGAGAGGATGTGGATAAAGGGGGACCCTCTTACACTGTTGGTGGGAATGCACGTTGGTATAGCCACTTTGGAAAACTGTGTGGAGATTCCTTAAGAAATTAAAAATAGAGCTACCCTCTGACCCTGCAATTGCACTACTGGGTATTTATACCAAAGATACAGACGTATTGAAAAGAAGGGGCATCTGTACCTCGATGTTCATAGCAGCAATGGCCATAGTCGCCAAACTGTGGAAAGAACCAAGATGCCCTTCAACAGATGAATGGATAAAGAAGATATGGTCCATATGTACAATGGAGTATTATGACTCCATCAGAAAGGATGAATACCCAACTTTTGTATCAACATGGACGGGACTGAAAGAGATTATGCTGAGGAAATAAGTCAAGCAGAGAGAGTCAATTATATGGTTTCAGTTACCTGTGGGGCATAAGTAATAACACAGAGGATATTGGGAGATAGAGAGGAGAAGTGAGTTCGGGGAAATTGGAGGGGGAGACAAACCATGAGAGACTGTGGACTCTGAGAAACAAACTGAGGGCTTTGGAGGGGAGTAGGGTTGGGGGTCGGGTGAGCCTGGTGGTGTGTATTATGGAGGGCACGTATTGCATGGAGCACTGGGTGTGGTGCATAAACAATAATTTTGGAACACTGAAAAATAAAATAAATAAGTAAGTAAATAAATAAATAAATAATCTTAAAGACTCCTAAGTCTGTTGGCCTTAGTCCAGACTTTTCCCTAGAATATCATCTGTCAAGTAATAGAATACAGAACCCTTATACTGAAGGGGGTTTTTGTTAATAGCTTGGCATGTCTAAAGAGTCTAGAAGTTACATAGCAAAATGAATGTATTTACATAATCTCTAAGAAATATTGGTTTACCATTGTTCTAGTAAATTGTAATTGATACATCTTGAAATTAAAAACAATATTGGTAATTTTCTCCATTGTTATTCACAGAGTGCTAAAGAAGAATTAATTAGGTGGGAAGAAGGTAAAAAATGGCAAACCAAAATAGAGGGAATTAGAAACAAGTTGAAGGAAAAAGAGGGAGAAGTCTATATTCTAACAAAGCAGTTGACTACTTTGAAAGATCTTTTTGCCAAGTGAGTTTAAAGATGTCTAATTAATTATGTGCAAAATCTTGATTTGGAAGTTATATTGTTTTATCATATTTGATATCATACTTGAAAATTTTCCTACTTTTAATTATCCGTTATTGTTTATAGTTCACTTTTTATTTTCTTTAAAATGTGTTTATAAGGGGCGCCTGGGTGGCTCAGTGGTTTAAGCCTCTGCCTTCGGCTCAGGTCACGATCCCGGGTCCTGGGATCGAGCCCCGCATCGGGCTCTCTCCTCGGCAGGGAGCCTGCTTCCCTTCCTCTCTCTCTGCCTGCTCTCTGCCTACTTGTGTTCTCTCTCTGTCAAAGAAATAAATAAAAATCTTAAAAAAAAAAAATGTGTTTATAAGTATTTTAACAACTTGGGTGACCTAGGTGGCTCACTTTGTTAAGCATCTGCCTTCAGCTCAGGTCATGATCCCAGGGTTCTGAGATCGAGTGGCATGTCCGGCTCCCTGCTTGGCTTAAAGTCTGCCTCTCTCTCCCTCTGCCTGCTTCATACTTGTATGCACTCTCTCTCTCTCTCTCTCTAATAAATAGAATCTTTTAAAAAAAGGTATTTAAAAAATTTATAAATAGGCTTACTATAATTTTTAAATAAGTTAGCTCATAGCAAATACAGAAAGATCTAATTTTTTTATGTTGGTCTTGTAATTGAGTAAGCTGTGGTTTAATAAATTGAATGCAAAACAGTGAAATATTTTCATGATGCTACATTAAATCCCACAGAGCTGACAAAGAGAAACTTACCTTGCAGAGGAAACTAAAAACAACTGGCATTACTGCTGATCAAGTTATGGGAGTGCGAGCTTTGGAGTCAGAAAAGGAGTTGGAAGAATTGAAAAAAAGAAATCTTGACTTAGAAAATGACATTTCATATATGAGGTAGGCTGTTTCATGAAAATGTGGTACCCATTATAAGGACAAAAACTGACCCACAGTAACTGATGTAATGAATGTGTATTACTTTAGGCTTGGGTTCTGTTGTCTTTTCCTATGTGAGTTAAGATATTTCTGGTTCTTGGTATGCCACCTCATTTTGGATTGTATTCTTGAATCTTCTGAATATTATGTGGTGAAACTTTGGATCTTGGTTAAATTCTATGGAAAGTGTGGATATTTTTGTTTTAGCAGGTAGCCAGTCTGGATAGGTTCAGGCCCCACATTCCAAACTGTTTTCTGTGGGGTGAGTCTTTGCTACCCTAAGATCAGATCCATGCACATACCGCTCTGTGGTGAGCCCAGAAGTTCATAAATGACTTTATAAGATCCCTTTTTTTAGTTCCTCCCTTTCTTTGATCTCCCTAATACTTTCCATTTCCCTAGGGCTCCTCTTTTCGGTACTTTGAGGGAAATCTGGGGCTTTCTCCCTCAGTACTAACACTCATCTTCAGGTTTCAAACAGTGTTGCATTCAGGCCAAGAAACACCAGAGAAAAAGGAAAGGTAAATCACTGCCTATTTGCTGATACTTCAAATTCTGGTATGCTATCCCAATCTGTAAAATATTAACTTTTCAGAGTTCTCAAATAGCTGTTCTATGCATTTGAGAGAGGCAAGATTGGATATGTTTACTCCCCTGTACCTAGAACCAGCTCTCCCTCTCCCCACCATGTCATTTCTTTAGCAGAGTCTTTGAAATTATTTTGTTTTGTCCTCTCTTTCCATGCTGATACAATCATAGTCATGCAAAACCAAATAAAATCATTTTCTAACAACAGCTGAAACTGTAGTAATCTGTTTCATTTATTCTTAGATGAACTTCAGTTAGTTTTACATAATCTGTCACTTCTCTACTAAGTACTTACAAGATGTCCAGAATCATCTTAATGATCATTTTTAAGGTCTTACCTACTTGTCATATTTGTATATGAGGATACTTGCTGTTCCTAAATTTATCATACTTTTTTTCCTTTCTGTTAATCTTCAAAAATTACCATTAGTGCTTCTTTATTAATGCCTGTGATTGCGTCAGTGTTAATGTAATGTGAACTCCTTTAAGGGAACACTCCTGAACATCTACATTTCCTTTCTTTTTTTCCTAAGTCATTGTTTCTTAAATCCCTCAGAATTTTTCATGATGGAGAAGAAAAAAGCGATTGAAGAATTCTTTCTTTTGACACCTCTTGTACAGAATCTGTTTGATCTCAGCCTTCCCTTCTTTGTTTGTCTTGATCTAAGCATATGTTCAAAACAACATTAAACCCTTTTTTCTCCTTTGCAGTTTTCACAAGGATCAAAATATTTTAGTTTTGAAACTTAATGCTTTTAGAGGTTTTGTTTTGTTTTCCTAATAATGTGAATCTGTGTGGCTGAAGTAATTGGAGAAGATCTGCTAGAAGAGATGGAACTTACTTTCTCAGCTCAACTTGAATTTCTAAGTTGAATGAATTGATCTAGATGTTAAAGGGAGGAGGGACATTCCAAGAGAGCAGAACCCTAGCAGAGACATAGTGGCAGGAGTAAAGCTTTCATGTGTGGGTAAGGGTAGACTTTTTTGCCTTAGTAAAGGTAGACTCCTGGACAATTAGGTTGAATAGATGTAGTGGGGCCAGGTTATGGAGGGCCTTGGAGGCCACGCTCATGAGACCTGCAGTAACAGATTATCTGGCACCACTAAGAGCCTTGTGTGAATCCTTGAGCTTTTCAAGAAGCACACAGATGTTATGAAATAGTTATATAATGTTTTAAAAATAGTGGCTATTTTGATTTGGCTTACACAGTTCCATATAAGTAGATGCATGGTCTTTAAAGATAAAATGTGTTTCCATAAATCAAAATACACTTGTTAACTCATAAATCAAAAGAGCCCTGCAGCGAATCCTCTGTAGAGGATCACTTTATACTGTAGAGTCATGTCTTGATTTTTGCAAAGCTTACAAGTTTTGTGGAATTTCAAGTAAATACTGTATTAATAAATATACATTTTCTTTCTTTTCTATATGTTGGTAGAGTAAAGCTGTGGAGAGTTGAAGTTTGAATAGTAAAGAGTCTGTTGTTGTTTCTCATAGGACACGCCAAGCTCTCCCTAGAGATTCTGTCATTGAAGATTTACGTTTACAAAATAGATACCTCCAAGAAAAACTTCATGTTTTAGAAAAACAGTTTTCAAAGGAGGCATATTCTAGAACTTCAGTAAGTATACACCTATTTGTTTTTCTGTTTTTAAAGATTAAAAGTGATATCAACTTCTACCTTTATCTGAGCCAGAATATTAGATCCCTCTTATAATATTAATGCAATAAATCCAACTTTTATTTTTACCAGGTAGTGATGTATGTGAACTTCTTTAATCCTCCTTACATAAGTAAACTTAAGATTCTTAGGCTTTGTATGAAACTTTATTACAAATGTGGTTTTAAATGAAGTTATCATTTTGAGTTTTGCTGTGGCAAGAACATACAATTGGGTAAATTAGAAAAATATGTCTATTTAGCATTGTTTCCACTCAGACGTTACATATTTCTAGTTTTCTTTATAAAAAGTAACTAATACAGAATTGTTTGTTGTGTCTTACTTTAAAACAATTGGTGTGTATGTTTTTGTTATTTCTTTCTTCTTCTTTTCATGTTTCTTCTCTTCTGCTTCAAGCAGAATCTGTTATGTGACACAACTACGCTTTCTACCTTTGCTACCAGTGTTAATAAATACAGGCACAATACTTTTTACAAAAAGAACACTTTACACAGGAACAAAAAAAAACCCGTAACAGTTTTCAGAATTAAAAGTGGGAAGGGAATAGATGCCAGTGACGACATACATGATCAGGTACCTAAAGATATTCTACGGGATCCCAGTAATGAAGAAAAACACGCAGCAGAAGATACTGTAGAGCCTACGGAATTAAATAAATCCGAGACAAGACCAAATCATAAGTCAAGTCCATTTAAGTCAACTAATGGTACCTTGGCAGATGTTAAGTCCAATTTTGAAAATGAAGCAGATCCCAAAATGGAGAAAATAAATCAAGACAGTTGTGAAAATAATAAACAGGAACATGAAAACAAGGAAGAGAATGAGCTAGGCAAGAATGATGAAGGAGAGGGACAAGTAGCTGAAGCTGTGGGTCACAGCAACCACTGGGATCCAGAGGAATCCGCCAGAGAGGACCCTGATTATGCCACAGTTGCGGCCACACTGAGTCAGTGTGCTGAGGAGGGCGCACAGGCAAACTCTGACTCCGACGGACCAGTCCGGCCAAGAGACGAAGTGTCCCAGGTTTGAGTCCATGGCGGTCCTGTGTGTGTGTGTTATCGGAATCTTCCTGTAGCAAGTGGTATACACATGTGGGACAAATGGAAATACGTTGTATAGGATTCGTAAAGAATATTAACTATATTGTTAATGATACATATATATTATATGTAATATATAAAGAAATGTGTCTTAAGCTCTAATATTTGATGGGTTCCTTCAAAAATTAATGGTTATGCATTTCCTAATTCATTTTAGTACTCACTGTTTTACCACTAGTACTCACTTAAAAAGAATTAGATTACATTATGGGGTGACAAAAATCTGGCCCTATAGAGGTGTTCATGTTGCCTTAGAAATTTCTAATTCAGGTTGCTCTGAAGTCTCATCACAGACTTTTACTACAGTGAATACGATCAGTAAAAGTATGTTACGATACTGTATGACATTCTTTGGTCATCTTTTTGCCACATAGTTTATGACATATACTTTTTTATAATGAAAGAAGGGAGTTTTCCTGTGTTGCAATGTTGTGCCTAGGTTTAATTTTCATAGCGCTTTGCAGAGTATTATTTCTGTTTTACATGGGAAGCTTGGAGCATGAGTAATATCTCTAGTGATCCAGAACCAGGATCTAAACACAGGTCTGACTCTGTAGTTCATGATCTTTCTTGACACACTACTTTTTGGTCCGTTCAAAGTGCAGTACAGGCTAAGACATGTTTGCCCCCAGTTGAAATCAAATAGCATTTATCTTTTTTTTTCTTTATCCTTTGCACCTATATATTCCAGTGACCCAAGTCCTAAAAACATCAATAAAAACAGACATTTAAATGTGAGGAGAAAATGGATGAAAGTGACTTAATTCTTGTTTCATTTCTTTATCCACGTTCATAAAACTTTTTCTTTTACTTGATAATAAATAATTAAAAGTTTGAGACATCCACTGTGTGTTTCTTTAACTCCCACCCACTAAGAATTTGGTTTCTAGCAGTGTATCCCCCATCCATTTTTGTTTTTGTTTTTAAGATTTATTTATTTTAGAGAGAGAGAGCATGCGGTGGGGAGGGGCAGAGGCAAAGTGAAATCTTAGACTCCGTGCTGAGCACAGAGCAAAGCGGGTCTCAGTCTCAACAACCCTGAGATCATGACCTGAGCTGAAACCAAGAGTCTGACACTTCGCCGACAATGGCACCCGTGTGCCCCTAGCAGTGTATCCCTTTTAGCAGGATTCCTCTTCTGTACAGGAACTGGAAATCTCATAAAATTCAATATGTAAGAGTTTTATTCATATTATTTTTACAGAATAGAGTTTCATTAGAATTTATTTTCCAGACATTTGGACAGTTTCAACAAATACTTTTAATTTTGTTTTTTTGAGAAATGGGAAGAATGACCCATATGTACTTAAATAATTGCCACCATGTTTCAGTGAGGAGAGAATCGTGTTCAAAACAAAACAAAACAAAAACAAAAAACAAAAAACCCTGATGTGAGATGATAAGATAGAAGTACTCTCTTCTGTGAGTGATGCTTAGTATGGTTTATGTCTATCAGCGGTGCTGATAGGTGTTTATCAGTTGTTAAACAACTACCACAGACAGAAGAGATGAATTAAGGGGGACAGAAGCGCTCAGGGACAGGGCATTACAGATTTCTGTGTCTGAAGAGGCCTTAAAAATGACCCCATCTTACGCCTTCATTTATAAGATGGAAGAACCGAGGACCTTGCAGGTGGCATGATTTGCCTGGTGTTAACCTAACTGCAGCAGAATAGAATGTATACTGGGGTGATTTGACAGAGAATAAGCGCAGACATGTTCCTATGGTACAGGCACCAGCAAACACATCTGTCTTCTTTTTCTTGCTGCTGTATATATGCGTATACACACACATTGCTTTGAACAAATAGACACGGGGAGGCGTGTGGTGTTCTGTGCCCTCAGGTCAGAACCCAACAGCCTAGAGTTTCTTTACTCTTCTGTATCCTGTTTTTTAGTGTCTTTAATTTATTTTACTTTTGTTTTTATTACTCAAGGGGAAGTGTATCAGAATGTGAAATATTCAACCTACTGCTAATTTAAAAAGATGGTATAGAGCCATGTATAATGGATGTATTTTTCTAATGCTGTATTTTTTAAACGATAATGTCTGTGGAGTTATTGACTTGATAGTCCATCAAACCAGTAGAGAGAGAAAGGGATGAGGGGAGGACACACTAAAGCTATGCTGAGTGCTTGCACAAAATTATTTCATATGATGCTTGTAATAATCATGTGAGGTAGGTGGTATTCTACCCACTGTATAGAAAAAAGTAATCAAGCACTTATTTCCCTTTTGAATGACTTGTTGCTTAGAACGAGAAGTAAAAATGAACATAAATAATAACCCAAGGTGAATTTGTGCCAAGAGAAATGCAGACATAGTGTAATTGGGTTTCAGAGGAGGGAGTAATTGCTTTTGCTCAAGGAATGAAGAAGAGCTTTCCGAAGAAGGAGAGAGTAATTATGGCATTTCTTTTTATAGGTTTGTGTATTAGTTTGCTAGGGCTATTTTAACAAAGCACCACAAATTATGTGGCCTGACAGAAATTTTATTCTCACAGTTCTGGAAGCCTGAAGTCCAAAAAAAAGTGGTCTTGGCAGGGTTGATGACTTCTTTAACTTGTGAAGGAAGAATCTATGCCAGGCCCTTCTCCTTGGCTTGAAAATGGCCATTTTCTCCCTGTCTCTTCACATTGTTCTATGCATACCTATGTTTCCACATTTCCCTTCTTTATAAGGATACCACACCTACTGGGTCAGGGTCCACCCTAATGACTGTAACTTGAGTACCTCTGAAAAGGTCCTGTATCCAAATAAGGTCACATTCTGAGGTACTGGGGTTGGGACTTCAACATACGAGTTTGAGGGTGGGGTAGGGTTTAGGATATAATATATTCCATAACAAATAATAACCATAATTTTGGACGGGGAAAATTAGCACAAATTAGTTTAGTCATTATGAGAGTATACATGGAGACATTATGTGTGTGGATGTTAAGACATACTTGATTTTGCTTTCTCTATTAATTAAAATGCATTACCTTTTCTCCTGCCATTTTTATATTCTAACTTACTAATTTGGGGCAATTTTTTCTAGAGCTCTCCAACTTTCCATATTTTTCCTCAAAAAAAATGTTCCCTTTTAGCTAGTATTTTCTTATCCTGTTAAGTCTTATGCCACTTTATTATTAAAACTTAAAAATATTTCTAACTTTACTTTCCTGAAGACTTCCGAGGTAGAGTCAGATGATCATTGTCAAAGAGAACAAGAGCTTCAGAAGGAAAATCTGAAGTTGTCATCTGAAAATATTGAACTAAAATTTCAGCTTGAACAAGCAAATAAAGATTTGCCAAGATTAAAGGTAAATTTAATGTTCTTTACTCTAGTTAGGAAATCTAATGCCTGAAAGCCTTTTTGTCCCTCTTCATATTAGTTTATGAAGATGTCAGAAACTCACATTCATAAAATATTATGGTAGTGTTACACTTTCTACATTTGTTCACGCAACAATTATTTGTTGAAAGCCTACTTCATTGTGAGGCACTTTTCTAAGTGCTAGGAAACAGCAATCAAAAAATTTCTTGCAGTCGTAGAACTTATATTCTAGTGGGGAAGTAGATAATAAGTAAAAAGTCAATATATAGAATGTCAGTTGATGTTAAGTGGTAAGGAGAAAAAGCACAGTTGGTATGAAAGATGTGTGTGAGTGTGTGTGTGTGTGTGTGTATCTGGGAGTGTATGGAATAGCTATTTAAACTGGGGTATAGGGGAAGGCTTTCTTAATAAAATAGAGAGCTAGGGGACAGATGAGGAAGTGGGTCATATAGGTACTGGAAAAAGAGTTCTAGACGACAGAAATAGCAAGTTCAAAGCCCTGAGGCAAGAGGGTGGATGTTGTATTTCAGTAACAATCATCAATCTTTAAAATATTAGGATATTTAAAAAAAATTAAGTCTTTACATTTAAAACAATTAGGATAATTATCTCTTAGGAATTTTATTTTGGTGTTTATAATAAGTTTATCTTTGGTTTTCCAAATCTCATCCTATTTATGGGAATCTTTTTTCTTCTGGCTGGCTAATTCTTTCGGTTCTATTTTCTAACCTAGAATAGTAACAATCTGTTAATTTCACTGGTAATGATATAATTATGTCCTGCTTCTAGAGCATTCTGAGTTTTACATTGTTAGAACCAATACTGTTTCTATCATCTGTCTAAGGATCTACAAGTGTAATTTATGGGATGGTTAAAATCAGAATTCTAAACTCTATATTAAGGCAGTAATGTGAAAAATATTTCTTAAAATTCATATGTAAAATATCCTTGTATTAAATTTTAATTTAACATATGTCTTAATTCAAAATCCTTATTGCTGTGGAGACCATCTTGTTCAGTTTGGCTATATAGTTGAAGAGATTGATAGCTCATGTGAAATATTTGCCTTTCCTTTTCAGAGACTATAGCTGTGTTAAATTGTTACACATTTGCTTTAATTTTTCAGAGTCAAGTAAGGAATTTGAAGGAAATGTGTGAATTTCTTAAGAAAGAAAAAGCAGAAGTTGAGCGGAAACTTGGTCGTGTTAGAGGGGTGAGTGTGTGAGAACATACCATATATTTGTTTGGGTTTCAGAAGTGCAAAGTTGGTAATAAAAAAAACAAGTTTGTATATGTCCTAAGAGTAGTGATATGCTTTTACTACTAGGCCCTGTAGTCTTGGTTTTTATTCTGCTGTGTCTACAATGTAAAACATCATAAAGCTTTTCTTTGTGTTTCAAGTCAGTGTATTTTATCATCTGTTACACCTTACATGCATTTTATTTCAATTGGGATACGACATCATCTTTCTTCATTGTATATCCCTTCACCCCTTGAAAACATTTAAGTTCTAGGAATCCTTCTGTTCATGAAGGTAACTACTAGCTGCTCTTAGTCCAATTCTAACATTTTATAACTATTTTTTATTATTTTCCTTGGAGCTTCTAGTATAACACTCTGTACATATGTTTCCCAAAATTTTTTTTATCCTTGTATTTTTCTTCCCATGTTATTTTGTACTCACTTTTTACAGTGAATAAATGCTGCTTATGAGGCCCCGACCAAAGATTTAAGCCCATAATGATTTCATTAGCAAGTGGCACAATGGAAGCCATTGATAATAAAAACTTAATCAAGTAATAATATGAAATATATGACAGATTTGTTGAAAACACTGTTATTATTAGAAAAGTATTCAGAACAAACCTCTCACTGACAGCAACATTAATTTCATAATTAAAAATGTTAATTCAACCTTTTCCAAGTTAATTATGAAAGTATATATTATGTACTGTAGGGTTATTCATTGCATAGTGTGAATACTGACTAAAATGCAAAAAAAAAAAGTAAACAGATTCTTTTGCTCAACTGTTGAAAACCTTATTTTAAAGCATTAGGCAGTTAAAGTTATT